CAGCAATTGCCCTACCACGAACGGTCGTTTTTGTTAGGGCACCAGAGATTGATATTTCGGAACTTGAATCTCTCTTCTCAGCTGCAGTTCCACATCCAGATCAAGCGGGTTCAGGCAGAATGGGTTCACGGGGCTCGATGGGGCAAAAACCTGAAAAAGTGCAACTGGTGATTTACTGTGCCTTTGTTTTTATAGGCTTCAAATTGACAAGGAATGTGCACTTATCATTTTTCTTTTATTTGACCCTTTTAACTTAGTGGCTACTACAGACATTAATGGATGAGAGTTTGCTTCCAACCGTCGATGTTTGTTTGGCAAATGATGCATTTGCTTGTGTTTATATATGATATTGTCTTCTTTATGATTAAGTCTGTTACCCTAGAACTGACTAATAAGAACATCGATGGGTATAATTTAATCCGGTAATTCTATTTTGTTTTTCTCCATTACCTTTTTTTTTGTTGAATCCGTTCTGCTTTTCGATATTTCATAATTATTCAGTTGTCGTTTGACTAAAACAATTGGAAAATTCTTTTTACTTGCACCTCCTTTATATGTTTCTTAGCCTCTTTTTGTTTGATGATCCAAATCTTTGGAGTCTGCAATGAGATGTCTCTTGTTTAACCCTTTTCTTTTGATAATTATATTAAGTCATATTTTTGTCTATTATGCAGATAGAACACAGGCGTGCATACAATTGTGAGATTATGCTTTCAAAAGTGAAGATACCCTTGCATGACATGCTGGTGAGCTAGATATATCTAACTTTTAGTCATTTTAGCAAGTATTAACTGACATTGCATTAAAAATCTTGTATGGTCATGACATTGCATTATGACTTGTTGAATTATCAATATTTTTTCTATAATTCTATGTGGCAGGTGTCATTTTCCATCTTCGATGCTGCAAAAAAAAAAAAATTCATTCTTTTAACAATTATGTAAAAAAAATGGTGTCTTCAATTCTCATAGACCTTTCCGGTTTTCAAAATAATGTTCTGGGTTGGACTTGTGGAGAACATGGGGGGAAATATTAACCATTGCCTAGTTTATCGACTTTTCTGAATGTATCAAAATTTTGAGTTCACATGTTCCGTGTGGATTTTTTTTTTCATCTTCTTGTATGTTGTATATATTACATGTTGTCTTATATTACAGTAAAGATTTTTTATTTATTTATTGTAATGAAATATTGTGGCTTTATAGAGTTCAGTACTTGCCTTGGAGGACTCGGCATTAGATGTTGACCAGGTTGATAACCTAATCAAGTTTTGCCCAACAAAAGAGGAGATGGAAGTGCTTAAGGTGCGGTATGGAGAAAGTGCCAATTTTCGTTCTTTAATTATATCTGAGAAACCTTAAACTGCATACATATATTTCCTAAACCTCAGAGTTTTTGAATTTTATAGCATGCCCATAATGTTTTTTTTTTGTTATCATTTGTGAAATTTAACAAGATATTTTGTTTCCAGGGTTATAAAGGAGAGAAAGATAAATTAGGAAAATGCGAACAGGTCTGTACCATATGATTCATGTATATATATTTTTTTATTTGTCTCTTGTTTAAAGCAAAAATCTAATTTTTTTTTGCCTTCTTAATTTCAGTTCTTTTTGGAGTTGATGCAAGTGCCACGAATAGAATATAAGTTGAGGGTGTTTTCGTTCAAGATTCAGTTTCGCACCCAGGTCAGAAGTTTGCATAAGATATCCCAATTTTTACACATCTTTAGAACATTGTTTGTAATGTATAGTCTGCATCTTTTTCGTCTTCTCTCAGGTTACTGACCTCAGAAATAGTTTGAATATTGTAAATTCTGCTGCAGATCAGGTAACTATCGATAATATTGTAAATTTTGTTTAATAATTCTCACTGCATGTGACCGTAAATATTGATTTCTTACTCGTCTTTGTAACTATTTTATAATCAGATTAAGGGTTCTGCCAAGTTGAAAAGAATTATGCAGACAATTCTTTCTCTCGGTAATGCCTTGAACCAGGGTACAGCAAGAGGTAAAGTTTATTTTATTTTATTTTTCCTGCAAACCTTCTTAATTACATGGGAACAATACATTTTCTTCTTTCATTTAAATAATTATTAAATTGATTTACTCTCCTTTATTAAATGGTGTTGTGACAGGTTCTGCTGTTGGGTTCAGGTTGGATAGCCTCCTTAAACTTACTGAGACTCGTGCTCGGAACAACAAGATGACACTGATGCATTATCTTTGCAAGGTCCGATTTTCTTACGTATATTTTTGCGGATAATAATGAATGATGTGAATAATCTAATTCCATTTTTTAATGAAACTAAATATGGTGGTTGATTATTATTATTATCATAGGATACTATTTTAACATTGAAGTTGACTCGTAAAAGTTGCCAATAATTCTTGTCTTTTTACATGTAGGTGCTCTCTGATAAATTACCGGAGCTTCTTGATTTCTGGAAAGATCTTTCTAGCTTGGAACCTGCATTGAAGGTATGAGTTTTTTTTTCATTTTTTCATCGATCTTTTTCCAGCAAATAGTATTATTGCACTACAAACTGCAACTCTTAACTCGACCAAGCAATTCTTTTGCAGATACAACTGAAATATTTGGCCGAGGAAATGCAAGCAATAAACAAAGGACTCGAGAAAGTTATGCAGGAGTTATCCATGTCTGAAAGTGACGGACCTGTGTCTGAACTGTTTTGCAAGGTTAGTTTCCAAAACATTGGGTTAGGGGGGCAACCCCCCCCATCCACCACAACAACATTTCCCAAATCCCTATTATTTTATATAAATATTTTTTTGTGTATAATAGAATTATCGGCCCCCCTCATAAAGTTGTAATGCATTCAGCCCCCACAGGCTTAAAATCTTGGCCCCACTAATGTTAGTTTCTACGTGGTATTATTATGGAATTTTGTGATCAACATTTCTACTGGACATTAGCACCATTCAATAACACTAGTGTTTTTTTTTTCTTTTTTTTTATTTAATTTTTTTTGTGCAGGCGTTGAAGGAGTTCCTTTGTTTTTCTGAAGGTGAAGTAAGGTCACTGGCTTCACTTTATGCAGGAGTGGTACGTATAAGTTGTTTTTAGGATCAGCTTACCGAAAATTTCCTGCAAGAAAACCGTTTGTCCAATACTTGCTTATAGAATGCTACAAGAAATGATCTTTTGAGTGACAACATTATTTTTCACGTGATTTAGGCAAAAATTGTTATCACTATGATTGTAACTAATGTGATATCACTAATGCTATATAGTGACAATAAAAAGAGATCGTCACTTCTACTAAAAAAATATCAAGTGACAACAAAAGGAGTTATTCGTGACTTGTGAGTGACAATATAAAAATGTTGGTCACTTGATATATGTTTAGTGACAACTTTTGAGATTGTCACAGTTACGGTGTCACTAATTCTATCTTTTCTTGTAATGCAGGGTCGGAATGTAGATTCTTTGATCCTTTATTTCGGAGAAGACCCATCACGTTGCCCATTTGAGCAAGGTAGTTTTTCCACTTTTCTGAGATTTTAAGGTTTTATGTTTGTTTATCTTACATTATGGAACTCTTGGTGCAGTCATTTCGACGCTGCTAAATTTTGTAAAAATGTTCAAAAGATGCCACGAGGAGAACTGCAAGCAACTGGAGTTTGAGAGAAAGAAGGCAGAGAAGGAAGCTTCTGAAAAGTTGAAGATGAATGCTTCTGACGCTGCGCAACACTTGCTCCAATCTCAAGTTAGAAGCGTCAAATAATTAAAGTAGAATGTCAAATTCGAACTCAGGTTATATATAAATATCTATATATAACTCTATTTAGGAAACCGCACGAAAGAAATCCTAAATTAGGCCAAGTGTCGTAGAATTGTAGAAGAAAACTTTATATGGGAGACTCCAATTTTGTTCACGGTGGATTCTTGTATATATTTTTTTCTTAGGAAGATAGTGACAGGTGAGATATCTTTCCTTAGCTTGTCCTTCTTTGATTTAGTTTGACGATCTTGTTACTTTGTACAGTCGAAATCCAAGTTCTAGAGCAGCCATATATAGGTTTTTTTTTTGCATTTTCCGAGCAAATGAATAACCGTAATAGTCCAGATTTCTGGTATTTAATAAAAATTTGTTCGATTGCATTCCTATCCTTTCTTGACGAGCTCAGTCAACATCCTTGTTTTGTAAATTCCGTTGTGTTGATTATTTTCTTATAAACCGCCTTTTTGACACACTAATCTATAGTAATGTTTGGAATGGTATTTGGGAGTGAATAATTTGAGAATGAAAGTAATTTTGTTGAGATAAGAGAGAGTATACACTGTAGCAATTTAATTGTGTTTAAAAGTGTTGGAAAAATATATCTTAGAAGAAGAATTTGAAAAATAAAGTGATTTTAGTTTGTTTTTACTTTTTCACTGTCTTCTTTTTTTTTTTTTTTTCCTAATAGTCAAATCCTGTTTGTAGGAGTGAGAAACTTAAAAAAAACCACCAAACCAAAGAGCTAAATCAAAATAGTTATGTTACAACATTTTATTTTGCATTTTATTCATTTTAGTGTTTTTTCTATTCAATATGTACAAATTTTCACAATATTAAAATTTAAATTTCGAGATAAGTTTATCGAAGCTAATGTTCATTGCATTTTCTCCATACCCAACAAACTTAATCAGCCGTTAAATTAGAGTACGGAGCGAGAAGAATTCGGGTTTGGGTCAAGACAATTTTAATATAATCGTCCCGGAACCGACCCGTTCCCCATCACAGTCTAAGGATAAAAGCATGTTAAAACCAAAAAAAATGTATATAACTAAACAAGAAAAGGGTCTGTATAAATTGTAGAACAAACAAGAACACCTATTCTTGATATATCATCATCATCATCATCATCATAAACCAACTATGGACAAAAAGAAAAAAAAACTGTTATATTATATCACATTAGAGATAACCTGAGTAGTAATTAATTATGTGATGTATCTTTCTGTACAAAGCCCCCTGCCTTTCTCTCTCTAGAACCTGTTCAAACCGACCCTTCAAACGAGACCCGATTTCGAGGCTCCTTTGGAATTAGGTGTTGTGCCGAAGATGCAGACGAAATCCCTTGAAGCATTTTGATGACTTCAAATGTGTCGTCGAGGTAATATTTCGCCATACTAGGTTTCTGTCCTACTGTGCATGCAAAAACCTCTGCAGTTTCGGGTAACGACCGGTCGGCAACTGAGCTGGCAATTGCCTCGAACATTTCTTCGTCTGATCTGTCGTCTCCTATGCACAAAACAAAATCTGCCCCCTTTCCTGTGTTCCTCATTGTCTCCATTATTTTCTTCACTACCCCACCTTTGCTCACCCCCTGCAAACCACTCGTATTATTAGAAACCAAGAAAAAAAAAAAAAGCTCAATTTCAATTGAAGATATTCAAGTTTCTAACTTGGAAATTGGAACTGAAAATTTCGAATTGATCCGATTATCGAACAATATATTTTCATTCCGGATTTGAAATTTCCAATTCCCGATCTTTATGATGTTTTTTGGAACTAAATTGGACTGCATAGTATATTCCGATTTCCAATCGGATTTTAACTCCAAAATTTTCAACCTACTTTCTTTGAAAATTACGCTGATAATATGAATTTATTATGTATTACGTAATAATTAATATAGGTGACCAAGAAACTGGAAATTCCGAACTCCCCTAATTCCTATCCGAAAATTCACAATTTCGGAACAAGTTAATTTATTCCAATTTTTTGGGAACAGAATTTGCATTAGTTTCCCACTTCTGAAAAAAATATCCCCGAAAATGCTAGTTCCGATCCAATCTATCAGATTTCCACCCCTAATTATTACCACATTTCAAGATTTCACATAAAAGTGTAGTCTTTAAGCAAAACATGAGCTAATAAGTAATAATATTATTACCTGTGGTTTCACCTCGACAATTTGTTGCCCGTTTTTCACCACAACAGGATCATTAGCAAGCACACTCTCCAAGTGATCTAGAAGCTCCTTCGCTTGCCACGACCCAAAATCAAGATCGGCTTCTTGATGATGCCAAACCAAAGCACTCTCCTTGTGCTCAATAGACGAACCATCGGTTGCTTCGGTGTAATGCTCCATAACGGGCAAAACTATTTTCTTCCAATCCAAATCCACTGCTAGCCCACAAGATTCCCACTCCGAATTCCCACTCCACCTACAAAAAAAAATAAAAAAGAATTAAAAAAAAATCAAGAAATCAAGAAATCAAGAAACCCGCATTATTATTACTATTTTACCTAGTGAAGTAACCATGTTCGGCCGAAAGACCGAGTTTTTCGCACTGCGAGAACCATTTCCCGAGCGAATCTTTCCCTCTCCCACTAACAATGAACACCACATTCTTTGGGTCGTTGCATAAACTATTCAAGAGAGAAATAACTTCACCGCTCGGGGATTTATCCACTAAATCCGGGGGCATCATAGTCCCGTCGTAATCAAGAAGTATAAGCCTACTACGCGTCTCTTTATAAGCAGACACAATGTGCTCCACCGAGAGCTTCCTAAAATTCGGGCCCAAAGCAACGACCCTCGAGTTAAGCCCGAACCCAATACCCCAACACCTCTTGCTGTAGTGCTCTCCACAAGCTCTTTCGAGATCTTGATCGAAGCTCTTTGCCCAATAGGCAACATCGTGCGACGCAATGTACTTGTAGTGCTTATCGTGCCTCAATTCCTTTTCGGAATCCGACATTGTTATACCAGATACCATTGCATCTGCCACGCTGTTAATATCCCACGGGTTAACCCTAATCGCCCCGCTTAACGAAGGTGAACAACCGATAAACTCCGAGACAATAATCACACTTTTCTTCGGTGGGCCCGAGTTTTTTTCGAATCCGAGCGCCTCATCCAGTTCAGGGCTGCCTTGTCTGGATACGGTGTACTTGTAAGGGATTAAGTTCATCCCATCTCGAACGGCATTCACCACAACGCATTCCGAAATCGCAAAGTAGGCGACTTTTTCTCGGAAACTCATTGGGGCATTCACACAAACAATTGGCAGGTAATCCGGTTTGCCGTGTTTCCGATTGATTTCATTCGCAACTCGATTGATCTCGCTTTCGACCTCCTGAATATCTTTACCACTGCTTCTCGGCGGGTTCATTATCTGAACCAGAACAACTTTCCCACGGTAAGTCGGATTCTCATCGAGTAAAATACCAAACGCCATGAACTTCAAGCTTATACCTTTAAACATATCCATATCATCCACACCCAACAAAACAGTTCTCCCATCATATTTCCTCCTCAATTCTCGAACCTTATTAGCGGTCTCCGACGAAGACATAACCGATCGGATTTGACCCATATGGATTCCGACAGGCAGGATCTTAATACCGACGGTTCGACCGTAGTAATCCAACCCAATGTAACCCCTCTTTGATTGATACTCCAATCCCAGCATCCTACTACAGCAAGACAAGAAATGCCGGGCGTAATCGAACGTTTGGAATCCGATCAAATCGCAATTCAACAGCGCCCTTAAAATCTCCTCTCTCACCGGCAAAGTCCGATAAATTTCCGACGAGGGAAATAGACTGTGGAGGAAGAACCCTAGCTTAACCCTGTGGTATCTTTTTCTCAAGAAAGTGGGGAGAATCATGAGGTGGTAGTCGTGCACCCACACGAAATCCTCGTCGGGGTTTATCACCTCCATCACCTTGTCGGCGAAGATCTTGTTCGCCGACACGTAAGCCTGCCACGTGGCCTTGTCGAAGCGGACGCCGTGGTTGGGGGTTAACGGGAGCATGTAGTGGAACAGGGGCCAGAGGTAGTGCTTGCAGAATCCGTGGTAGAATTTGTTGAGCAGATCGGTCGGCAGAAAAGTCGGGACGCATTTGAATTTCTCGAGGAGGAGCTGCGCCACCTCGTCCTGCTCCGACGGGGGGATCTCCGCCGGCAGACAGCCGACGTAGATGACGTCGGCGTCGGAGGGAAACCCGTCTCTTAATTGCAGAACTAGGGCTTCTTTGTCCCAATCGAACGACCACGACGAATCTTCGGAACGGGTCGCCTTTAATGGCAACTGGTTCGCCACGATTACTCTCCTTTCTTGGGCGGCGGCGCGTGGAGAAGAAGAAGAAGAGGAATCGGATTCCGCCGTTCCGCCGCCGCCGCCGCCGGCGGTGTCGTAATCCGGTATGATTCCCGGCATGGAAATAACCCTCGGTATACGTGTCCGGTCAGTCGTGCAGTCGTCGAGGTTCAACAGATTGAAGTAAGATCTCGACAACATTTTCTAGAGAGAGAAAATACAAAATTAATTATTTATTTCTGTGTGTGTGTGTGTGTTTTGTGCGTGTTCTTGGTGGGTGTGCTGGAAACGATTACAGAGAGAAGAGGAAGATGGATAATTAACGCATTTACTGGGAATTTATGATTTTTGATTTATGATTTATGATTTTTTATTTGAATTTTTTTTTATTAAAGGAATATTTAAAGAAAGTTCAAAATGTGGATAATTTATATATTTAATTTATAGATATATATATTTATTATTAATAAAAAAGGAAGGTGGTGAGGGGATAAGAACGAAGGACCGACTTAAGGAAAAAAATATGGGAGTCTACGTAATACAAATGGTTCGGAATTTAATAGCCAAGATTGACTGTGGGCCCCACCTTTTTTCCACCCCCACCACCCCCTCCCACCTTTTACACCACATGTTAATTTAAAAATAATTTATATTCTTATTTTTTTTCAAATTTTTTGGTATTCCTAGTATATCCTGATTTTATTCCCATTTTTATTTTTTCTAATTAATAAGATAGCAGCTTCTCGAAGTGCATTGGATAAATTTCGACCGGTTTGAAGTTTACAAATTGAACATGAGACGTAAATCAATGTGTGACGAGAGTAACCTAGAAAGTATTTAATTCAAATGAAACTGACATTGTTCTATCTTATTCTATTTACTAAATTACCCCGCGGGGGCTCCTAATCCTATATCATTATTTTCATTATTTTGAGAGAGATTTACCGTTTTAATATAAATTTATTATTACATTGTTAAATGTTATATGAAACATTTGGTTTTATTCTCACATTTGTTTTTTCGTCGCATTAGATGCTACATCTAGCTATCTGCATCGAGTGATTTAAAACAATTAATGGGGTTAAATAACCATCCACTGATAAATATGTATATATGTGATTATATGCAGATCAACGATTAGAAGTCACCGAGTGTACTTCACCAGACGCAGTATTAAGTAAACTGTTTCTCCGGACCCTATCTGTACGCCGAATTCGTGGCGTGATGGTGTCGAAATTGCTATAGATTCGTCCTTAAAAGAAAAAGGGTGGAATTATGTATTCATATTTTTGGGATAGACGTTACCAAAATCTCTAGTTATTTTTCTCTAAATAGATTATCAAATTAATTGTCCCTTTTTGGATTGTAGGTCCCAAATCAAATGTGAAGTTTGAATATTTCGTGATTTGATGAAGATACGACGACGTTAGGCAGCAGCCCAAGTAACGGATATATAATATAATAATAATAATAATTTTCAAAAGCATTGAAAGAGGTATTTAGTTGGATAATAGTGACCAATTAACCATATTCTTCTCTCTTCCCTTTTAATTTGTTTTATTCCAAAGAATAGTATTATCCCAAGAATTGTCTAACCTTTTAAATTTGTTTTATTATTATTATTATTATTTTTTTAATCTTTTTCGCTAAAAATGCTCCTGACAACGCATATACATCACGTGTGTTATTATGTGTAAATCAATAGTTCAAAATCATTCGATGTATTTTATTTCACTGAATGTAGCATTTACAAAACTTGCATATCCCCACAAATTAAAGTCGCGGTTATTGCATCGCAGCACGCTAATAAGGAATTGACTAGAAAAAAATGGTTATTACTTATTAGTAACTTCCGCGAAAATGATCTAGTCTTTCTTTTTTGAGGAAAAATAAAAACAAAAATAAATTCCTAATACAAAATGAGAAAATAAGAGAATAGCATGATTTGTTAACAAGGATTGGTCAATACTATACTTAAGTTGAGTGGTATCGAATATTGCTAAAAACGAGGATCGGTTTGTGTTATTTTGGTGTTCTGATGTAAATTTTTTAGTTCGATACCTATTTATTTAAAAAAAACAAAAAATAAAGTAAAAATACATCAATAATTTCTTTTATGGTGTCTTTTTTCTTCTAGAAACAATGGTTTTTTTTTTTTCCCTATATATGCATAGTTTGGTATTATATCATAATATTGAAAGATAATCTAAAAAAGAAAAGGAAAAATCAATACTTTATTTGGAGTTTATGATATAGTACTATTACATGGCATGTTAATCCTAAGGAGAACAAGTCCATGTTGAACTCTCTCTTGTTGATGGAATTAATTGGCAACTTCATAGTCATATTCTACACTACTTATGTTTATCCAATCCTTTTGGAGAGAATAAAGAAAACCACTATTCATGTAATATGACATTTTTTACTAAGAGAAAATTATATTTAACTTTAATTTGAAGTCAAACTTATAAATATATCATTTTCATGGATATATACTACTAGTAAATTTAATTATAATGTAAAGTAATGGGGATGTAATATCAATATTTTATATTTGAGATATTGAATAGTTGACGCACACGTTATAAATACTTATTATTAAAGGATTAAATATTTTTTCCACCACTGAAATTAAATATGTATAACACTTATCCCTTTAAAGGATCATTTATAATATTTACTTCATTAGTATCAATTATTTGTATCTTCAATTTTAAAAGTGAATAAAGTTCACATCCAAGATTCAAGTTTAAGCACTTTTCGGTCACCCCTATTACATGTTTGTTAGCAAGTAAAAAAAAAAACCCTATTTTAGGGCAAAATTGAAATTGAATTTTTTTTTTTTTTTTTTGTGAGTGGAAAATAATAGAAATTTAAAATATACTACTTATAATTTAAAAATTCTAATTATATTTCAGCCCCAAAAAAATTTCACAGTTTTGGCCTCAAAATAGTATTTTCCGTCACTTGCAAACGGCATGTAACGGCGGGGACCAAAAGTGTTAAAAATCAAACATCTGGGGGTGAACTTTATTCACTTTGGAACAACGGGGACCAAAAGTTGCATAGAGACGAACATGAGGGACCAATATGTAATTTTCCACCTGGCAAACTTTACAAGGACAGTGACATGTGGTGTCTTATGACTGGCCAGCAGGTGTAATACGTGTTTTCCCATTGTTGGATATTTGTTCATATCTCGTGATCTCAGAAACAGCGACTTATGAGTTGTGAGCCTCACAAGTAAAACACGCTTCTTTCAATGCTATGTGAGAAATGGTTGGGAAAATTATTGTTGCCACGTTTTAAGGGTTTGGGTCAATTTCTTGCCACCACCAAATCCACCAAACTTCTTTTTTGGGAGGCATTTTTATTTAATTAATGCAATTTGCGATCGATAATTGGTATTTCGCACCCTCGAATTATAACTGTTTATCACTTTACACCCTTAAATTGCAAAAATAACATAATGCACCCTCCAATTATAATATCCCTGGCAAAGTACACCCTCATTCACTTTTTGGCTTAAAATGTGACTCGGCAACCTGTTTGTGATATTGAAGTAGGGGCAATTTTTAAGCCAAAAGTTGAATTAGGGTGCACTTTACCAAAGATAATATAATTGGAGGGTGCTTTCTGCTATTTCTGCAATTTAAGAGTGCAATGTGCGAAACACTTGTAATTCTAGGGTGTAAAATGGCAATTACACAATACACCCAATTTGCGAGCCATACAGATAAGAATTTAATGATATTATATCTATAATATTAATTATCAATCTTTCTATCTATCCACTTCCGTGATTTATTGATTAAATTCTTTGTCCTAGGAAGCAGCTTCAATTTAGGTACCATAAATAATAATATCCACTACCATCTTTTTTTCCTATATATTTATTTAATTTTCTTATTGATAGGTATATACTATATAGACAGGGAAGTCATGGCCAAATTAATTAGTTTTTGTTAGTTTGTTTTGTTTGTTAGTTAGTTTGAATAAACAGTTATTGATATGATCGATTTATTTATCTTATATATATATATATATATATATATATATATATATATATATATGGGCAAAAAAGCCCATCATATTAGACTTAAATGTACATTGGTCCAAAAAAAACAGTCTCTTAATTAAACTTCCCCAGTCTTTCGTCTAAATTACCATCCATAATATAATTCTTATCAATTCCATTCATTATGCTCTAACTTCCTTAATATTACACATTGACCCCGGATTTAAACAAATATATCACATTAACCCCAATTTTTTTTTTTTCAGAAAATAATTTTTTTTCTGAAATTTTTTTTCCAGCCAGATTCAGGCGTTGACTTTTTTTTTTTTTGAAAACTTTTTTTTTCCTGAATTTTTTTTCTGGCCGGTCAACCACCGTTGACCGCCGAGTCTCCGGCGTTGACTTTTTTTTTTTTGAAATTTTTTTTTAGAAAAAAAATATTTTAATTAAAATTATTGTCTTGGCTACTAAATTACTATCTCAGACAGTAATATTACTGTTTGGGACAGTAATATTATGAATATTATTTTGCCGAACAGTAATATTATTGTCTAAGATAGTTAAATTACTGTTGGAGACAATAATTTAGCCGCCAATGCAGTAATATTAATTAAAATAATTTTTGTTAAGAAAAAAATTAAAAAAAAAAGTCAATTAACAGTTAAATTACTGTCTCCGACAGTTAAATAACTGGAGACAACAATTTAGCAACGAATATAGTAATATTAATTAAAAATATTTTTTTTAAGAATAAAAAAGTCAATTAAGAGTTAAATTACTGTCTCCGATAGTTAAATAACTGCTGGAGACAGTAATTTAGCAACGAAGACAGTAATATTAATTAAAATATTTTTGAAGAAAAAAAAAGTCAATTAATAGTTAAATTACTGTCTCCAACAGTTAAATAACTGCTGCAGACAGTAATTTAGCAGCCAAGACAGTAATATTAATTAAAATATATTTTTTAAGCAAAAAAAATTTATAAAAAAAAAAAAAGTCAACGTCGGAGACCCGGCGGTCAACGGCAGTTGACCTACCGGAAAAAAAAATTTCAAAAAAAAAAAAAAAGTCAACGCCAGAGACCGGCGGTCAACGACGGCGACTGGCGGTCTCCGGTGGTGGCAAGTCAAAATTGGGGTCAAAATTGAAATTATGGTTAAAATTGGTTAATTGATGAAATTGGGCTAAATTGAGATGTAAATCATGAAATTGAAGTTGAATTGGGTTTCAATGAATTGGGGGTAATTTTGATATATGTAAAGTATTTTACCTTATTTGCAATAAGTTTGAATAGCTGGATTTATTTGATAGACAAAAAAGTTGGATGTCCCTCTTTTA